GGGAAGAAGGAAAAGAACCTATATTTCAAAAAATGTTTTATGTACATAATATATTTATAGCAGCTCTATTTATGGTGGCAAAGAACTAGAAATTGAAGGGATGTCCATCAATTGAGGAGTGGCTAAACAAGTTGTGGTACATGATTGTGATGGAATACTACTGTGCTATAAGAAATGATAAGCAGGTTGATTTTTAAAAAAACATGTAAAGACTTGCATGAAATAATGAAGAGTGAAATGAGCAGAATCAAGATAACGTTAGATACGGTAACAGCAATATTGTTTGTGAACGACTAAGCTATTCTGAATGTTATAAATATTCAAATCAACTACAAAGGACTATGAAAGAAAATGCTATCCACTACCAGAGAAAAAACTAACAAATAGAAGTATGCATAGGATGGTTTTACACACACAAACACACATGTATATTGTGTACATTATATGTAATATGTGTGTATATATGTATGTATGTGTGTATGTATGTATTTCTGGGTCAAATGCTGGCCTTTTCTTATGTGGGGTGGGGAGGGAGTGAAGGAGGAAGATAATGTGGAACTTGAAATATAAAAAAATTAAATTTAATTTTAAAAAAAGAATTATTGGACTACCTGAAAACCATGATCAAAAAAAGAGGCCAGACATCATATTTCAAGAAATTATCAAGGAAAATTGCCCTGATATCCTGAAACAAGATGATAAAACAGAAATTGAAAAAAATATACCAATCACCTCCCGAAAGAAGTGACTAAAATGAAATGAAAAATCCAAGGAATATTATAGCCAAATTCCAGTGTTCCAAAGTCAAAGAGAAAATACTGCAAGCAGCCAGAAACAACTCAAATATCATGGAGCCACAGTTAGGATAACACAAGATCTAGCAGCTTCTACATTAAAGTGTTGGAGGGCTTGGAATATGATATTCTGGAAGGCAAAGGAGTTAGGATTATAACCAAGAATCACCTGCCCAGCAAAACTGAGTATAATCCTTCAGGGGAAAAAACAGATAGTTAATGAAATAGAGGATTTTTAAGCACTCCTGATAAAAAGACCAGAGCTGAATAGAAAATTTGACTTTCTTGTATTCAAGACTCAAGAGAAGCATAGAAACATAAACAGCAAAGAGAAATTATATGGGGTTCAATAGGGTTAAACTTTTTAAATTCCTACATAGGAAGATGATACTTGTGACTCCTAAGATCTTTATCATTATTAGGGCAGTTAGAAGGAGTGTCTATAGATAGAGAGCATGAGTGTAAGCTGACTACGGTAGGATGATATCTAAAAAAATAAAATTAAGGAGTGAGGAACAGAGATGACTATGATGCAATATCAAAAAAAAGGGGTAAGAGGGGTAAGAAAGAGGGATGCACTGAGAGAAGGGAGAAGGGAGAGGTATAATGGGCTAAATTATCTCACATAAAAAAAGGTGTGAAAGCTTTCAGAGAGGACGACAAGTTGGGGGCCGGGAATGGCAGACAACACTTGAACCTTACTCATCTTACTCTCGTCAGAACGTATACATCCAGTTAGGTATAAAAATCTGTATTACCCCATAGGGAAGTGGGACGAGAAGGGGATAAGAGACAGGAAGGCCAGGGATGATAGAAGGGAAGGCAAACTGGGAGAGATGTGGTCAAAAGCAAAACACTTTTGTGGAGGGACAGGATGAAAGACAGAGAGAGAAGGATAAACAGGAGAAAAAAATAGGATGACGGGAAATATACAATAATCATAACTGCCGAAAATTTATAGCAAATTTCTCTAATAAAGGCCTCATTTCTCAGAAATATAAAGAACTGAATCAAATTTATAAAAATGCAAGTCGTTCCCCAATTGATAAATGACATGAAAAGACAGTTTTCAGATGAAGAAATCAAAGCTCTCTATAGGCATATTTAAAAAATCACTATTGACTAGAGAAATGCAAATTAAAACAACTCTGAAGTACCATCCCACACTTTCATATTGGCTAATATGAAAGGATATGAGAAAACTGGGACACTTGATACTCTTGGTGGAGGTATGAACTGATCCAGCCCTTCTGGAGAGCAATTTGGAATTTTGTCCAAAGAGCCATAAAACTGTGCCATATCCTTTGGCCTAGCAATACCACTACTAGGTCTATATCCAAAGAAATTTAAAAAAAAAAAAGGAAAATGATCTATCTATATGTACAAAAAATATGTATAGCAGCCCTTTTTGTGGTGACAAAGAATTAGACATTGAGGGGATACCCCTCAACTGGGGAATGACTGAACAAGTTGGAGTATATGATTGTGATGGAATACTATTGTGCTATAAGAAATGACAAGTAGGATGCATTCAGAAAAACCTGGAAAGACTTACATGAACTGATGAAAAGTGAAGTAAACAGAACCAGAAGAACATTGTACACAGTAACAGCAGTATTGCACAAAGATCAATTGTGAATGACTTAGCTATTCTCAAAATATAATCATCTAAGACAATTCTGAAGGATATATGATGAAAAATGCTATCTGCCTCCATAGAAAGAACTGATGGAGTCTAAATGAAGATTGGGGGGGCAGCTAGGTGGTGCAGTAGATAGAGCACCAGCCCTGAAGTCAGGAGGACCTGAGTTCAAATCTGCCTCAGACCAAACACTTAACACTTACTAGCTGTGTGACGCTGGGCAAGTCACTTAACGCCAATTGCCTAAAAATAAAAATACAAAAAAACTCAAAAAAAATGGAAGTTTGGAGCATACTTCTTAAAACTTTATTTTTCTTGTTTTGTTTTGGTCTGTTTTTTTTCACAACATAATAGGAAAATATGTTTTGCATGCCAGCACATATATAATGTATATCAAATTGCTTGACTTCTCATGGGGGGAAGAGAGATAAATAGAATTTGGAACTCCAAATTTTATAAAACAAGTGTTAAAAATTATTATTATATACAATTGGAAAAAATAAAATATTAAAAAAATTTTTAATTACTTTTTTATTTAGTAGTTTATTTTTTCCCAATTACATATAAAAATAATTTTAAGATTCTTTTTTAAATTTTGAGTTCCAAACTCTCTCCCTCCCATCATTCATCCCCTCATTGAGAAAGTAAGCAATTTGACATAGGGTATACATGTTTAGTCATGCAAAACACATTTCCATGTAAGTTGTGCTGTGAAAGAAAACACAAACAAAAAAAAAGCCCAATAAAAATAAAGAAAATAAAGAAAAAGTATCTTTGATCTACATTCAGGCTCCACCAGTTCTTTCTCTGGAGATTGGTAAGTGCCCAAAAGTAATTAGTTATGTGCCCATATACTATAGGTATGTCCACATGGGCTGTCTAAATGCCACTCCAAGGTGGGTGGTATGGATGGAAACATCTGGAATCTGGCCCAGTCCTCTCCAAGAATGCTGTTTTGTCTCTGAGGGAAGCTGGAGAAGGAATATGGCTGGACAAATTTGTTTCATTCCTGCCTATTTCCAACAGGGGTTTTGACCTGGAATTATAGCTATCTACTGCTCCTTAAATATTGCTAGTTTAGGGGGTATGAATCTGGTTCAGAACAAAAGCTAATTCTTTGGTCAATACAGTCTTTAGTTCAAACTTACCAGTTTAGCCCTGTCTCACCAAACACTGGTTACACAAAATTATTGCTGAGTTGTTTCAGTTTGTCCAACTCTGCAAAATGCCATCACAAATAGCCAATATTAAGTAAACCCATTTATCGAAGCGAAAGAACAAATAGAATTTGGAGAAGTTCAATAAAACATACACCAAAAAATACATAAAAATGTATTTTTGCTTTTTGCTGGGAAACAAGAAAGAGGCCCTAATCTCACCCAAGAGGAAATTTTCTCTCCAATGTCTCTAGGGTGGCAAACTGGACATTAGAGATATGTTGAGAAAAAGCTGAGTATGCCCAAAAAATATGTGTTTCCTTCTTCACTTGAAGTATCACCTCTTTGTCAAGATACAGATAGTGTGCTTCACTATCATGCTCTGGAATCCAGGTTGCTCATTGTATTGATCAGAGCTTTCAAGTCTTTCCCTCTTTTCTTTTCCCTCTGTAGTACTTGGTGATCTTAACAGTTTCCATGGATTCAATTATCCTCTCTATGCTGATGAATCTCAAATCTATTTATTTAGCCCTAAGATCTCTGCTGATCTCCAATCTTGCATCTTCACTGCCTTTCAGACATTTAAAAATGAATGTCCAACACACATCTTCAACTCAACATGTCCAAGACTAAACTCATTATCTTTCCCCCTAAACTTTCTCCCTTTCTAAACTTCCCTGTTGCTGTTAGAAGGATAGTATACCCTTCCTCCTCAATTATTCACTATCTCTCATTGCCCATATCTAATCTGTTGCTAAGGCTTGTAGATTTCACCTTTGCAACATCTCTAGAATACATCTTTTCTCCTCTGATACTGCCACCAGCCTTATACAGGCTTCATCTTCTCATTCCTGGACTATTACAATAGTCTGCTGGTGGGTCTGCCTGCCTCAAGTTTCTTCCCATTTCAATCCATCCCCCACTCAGCTGCCAAAATAATTTTCCTAATGTGCCAGTTCAACCACATTACCCCCATACTCAATAAATTCCAGTAGTTTTCTATCACTTTCAGGATCAAATACAAAATCATCTTCTTTGGTATTTTCAAAGCCCTTCATAACTGAGCCCTCTCTTACCTTTATAATCTTCTTACTCCATACTCCTTGACACAGTCTTCCATCTAGTGATGCTGGCCTCCTGAGAGCTGTTCTAAAAACAAGACTGTCCGTCTCTAGGCTCTGGGCTTTCTCTCTGACTCCCCATGCCTGATCTCCCTCCTCCACTTTATCTACTGACATCCCTGGCTTCCTTCGAGTCCCAGCTAAAATCCCACCTTCTAAAGGAAGCCTTTACCAAGCCCTCTTTATTTTAGTGCCTTCCCTCATTAATTATTTACTATTTATCCTGTATATAGCTTGTAGGCATTGTCAAACAGAATTTTGAATGCCACAATGAACCATCTCTAACCTGGGAATGGCTGGAGCTGAACAGACAAAGCTAGAGGCAGGTGTGTCTCTAGCCTCTAGGTGTGTCAGGATACCAAAGTAGTGGTATAATTTACTTCTGAGTGAGGAAAATTACTTGCATGCAACGAAGACCCCCTGAGAAGGAGGGCTTAACACGCTGGGGTACAGACAATGCTTATATACATAAGTGGGTTGAACTATGACATAATCATTCTTAGGTTTTGAGTAGCTGTTCCCATGGCAGCCTCATGTGTGGACAATGCAGGTGTTCCTGGGTGCCATGGGAACAATCTCCAAGTGGATTGTGTCACAGTGTGGTACTGTAACGGGTTTGGTTTACTTAGTTGTTACAAGAAACAGAGATTAATGAGCAAGTCAAGCAAAGTTATAGATGGCTCTCAGATCCCTGGGAAATAGGGGGCAGTGAACACCTGGTGCTGGTCAAAGAAATACACTTTGCCAGGGGTTGAGATCAGCCAGAGCACAAAGGATTGTTGTTATGGCAAGTTCAGAGCACAGCCTGCTTGCTGGGCCTTTCTTAGCTCTGAGAAACAGGGTGCCTCCAAAATATTTTGACAGTATATATTAATAGGGACAGCTAGGTGACACTGAGTTCAGGGCCTGGAGTCCGGAAGACTCATCTTCCCTAGTTCAAATATGGCCTCAAACACTTACTAGGTGTGTAACCCTGGGCAAGTCACTTAACCCTGTTTGCCTCAATTTCCTCATCTGTAAAATGAGCTGGAGGAGGAAATAGCAAATAATTCCAGTATCTTTGCCAAGAAAACCCCAGATGGGGTCACAATGAGTCAGATACTGAACAACAAATTTAATAATAGCAGCTAATATTTATGTAGTGCCTACTATGTGCCAGGCACTATGCTATATGCTTTACAAAGATTATCTCATTTTGTCCTCACAACAACCCTTGTTAACTCTCTCCCCACCCCACCCCCATCAGATTGTAAGTTCCTGGAGGGCAAGACTTGTCTTGGGGAGGGCGAATGACAAAAATGAAAGCAGTGAGTGTGGACAGCTTTTTTAGGAGTTTGGGTGTGAAAGGGAGCAAAATATAGCCATAACTCAGTGGTGTAAGCAGATTAGAGTCTAATTAGGATTTTTTTAAGGATGAAGGAGACTTGGGCATGTTTATGAGCAGCATGGAGAGCCCGGGGCTGGAGAGGGAACGAAGAGTAGAGAGACATCAGGTGCCCAATGCTCCTTGGGGCTTGTTTCATTCTTGTATTCCCCAGTGCTTAGCACATAGTAGGAGCTTAATAATTGGAAACCTATCTCAGACAGTAACGTCTGTGTGAACCTGGCCAAGTCATTTAACTTACCTCAGGTTCTTCATCCGTAAAATAAAGACAATAGTACCCACCTTACAAGGTAGTTGTGGGGAATTAGTGAGGTGATAAATATGTGTGTATATATATATATGTACACACACACACACACACACACATATATATATATCAGGTCCTTTGCAATTCTTAAAATGCCATATAAATGCTATTATTGTTGATAAATATTTGTTGATTGACCGATGGGGGTCTGAAGCAAGAAGGTGCCTCTCTCTCCATAAGATAGTGAAGGCAAGGAATGGAGAATGGGGTGAATCCTGAAAGACTAGGTATAATGTTTCGCCTTTAGCGATTTTCCTCCTCCCGCCCCACTGATTTTTTTTCCCCCAATGTTCTCGAGGGGCGGGGAAGGGGCGGCGCAAGGAGGCCTCTGCCCCTTTAAGGTCACGAGCAGGAGACGGCTGACCTCGGCGCCTCCCCGCCCCTTCCTCCTCCTCAGGTTCCCAGCTTCACCCGGGGCTCGTCAAGGCCCGGGCTTCAGGGCCACGTGACTCGGCCCCTTCCTCAGAACCTCGGCTGCGGGGCTCCCTGAATTCCAGAGATTGGCTGCGGTCGAGACCATGACGGACTGAGCTGAAGGGATAGGGGCGGCTCGTCCCGGCTCTGCTCTCGTTGCCTCTTCCCCCTCCCCGGCTCTTCTGTCTTCGCTCTGCAGACAGGGTCTCCGGGTCTTCGCCTGCGTTCGCACGAGCTCTTCCCTTGCGGGGGAGCCCCCCCCCGCGAGCATGTAGAGGGGAGGAGGGCGAGCGAGACAGTCCCCGGGGCCTGGACAGACAGCCCCAGAGTCCGGTCCACCCTCCCTTCCCCCATCAGGCAGCGCTGGGCCCTGCCGGGAGGTCTGGCGGGAGAGGCCGCAGCTGAGCCGGCGAGCTCTCGGAAATCTCGCGCAGTCCCGCGAGAGGATAAGTTGAGGAAACATGGCGACGTCTAATCTGTTAAAGGTAAGAACCCCACTCCTGCCATCCCTGTCCGCCGCTCCAGGCTCTGCTACAGGGCCCGCGCTAAGGAAGTAGCACGCCTGGGCCCGGGGGCTGATGCTGGGCAGGGTCAGGCGACGGGACCTGTAGTGACAGCTGTGACCGAGGGGGGACACGGGCCTTGCTCCCCCCCACCAGTTGCCGTGTGTGTTGTGTATGTAGCCGGTGGGGTCGTAGGGAGTCTTGCGATCGCTCAACGGGACACTCACTTCGGGGAGGTAGGGTACACTTCCGTTTTAGGGGTTCCCCACGCCCCCAGCTCTGTGCGTCTAAGGCATAGAAGATAAATGTCCGAGGAACTCCTGGGCCACAGGATGCTGATCCCATTCACCTCAACCCCTTTCCCCCAAGGCAGACAAGGTTTGTAGGACCCTTCCCCCCACCCCATTAGTTTGCATGCCCCTCCACCCCAATCCTCTCGCCTGTTTGCTTTCTCTGAAGATTTCAGGTTCTCTAATCCTATGTCTCACTCAGTTTCTTTAAGGGCTTGAGCTCTTGCTGTAAGGCAGTAACAAGATATTAGAGGATTTTAAGAATCTCTTTTTTCTAAAGAAAGTAATTTTGTGCAGACTGTTTTAGTTTTATCGGGTGTTTGACAGGAACGGTGTTGGAGGTAAGGCTCCATAAGCAGGTTAAGAGGAGGTGCAAATCAACTGAAAGGGTCAGTACGTCCCTATATTATTTTATAGTGATATTCACATTGGAAACTTTTTGCCTGTATGGATTCAAAGGATTTTAAACCTGGGACTCATTAATATAATCCTGTCATTTTATTGATGAGGAAGCAGGCGAATATAAAGAAGTTAAGTGACTTGCCCAAGGTCACATAGTCAGCTTGAAGAGTAACTGGAGTTAACTCTTGACTCTGGGGGCCTTTTCTTATTTACTACCCTGTGTTTCTGATTTCTGAATGGTTGAAGTGTTTCCTGATTTCATCCTCTCTCTTTGGACTAGTCAATTATGATTACTTCCTGTGTCACGAATCACTTTTCTCAAATCAAATACCATAATACTAGTTAAATAAATTTTGTCTTTATTTGGTTACTTAAATATAACAATTTGATGTTTGAAGTCAAGACTGATTTGAGCATGAGTGATGGTTTGGGTACCATTTTCCATGTTATGCTAACAATTTAAACTGGTGCATGTCTCTGTGTGTGTGTGTGTGTGTGTGTGTGTGTGTGTGTGTTCCAAAGTCGATTTTTTTTTTAAAGGGATGCTGATTAGAATTAGCAGATGTCTTGTTTGGTGTCAGTTCAGGCTCTTTTTAGTTTTTCTGTTGAAATTCTTTTCTGCTTTTCACCTTTTTATTATATAAGGCTTACTTTTAACTTTGGTATATGTATTATTTTTTCTATCTGGAGAGGAGATTAAGTGATCAGTAGGGGATTTGTGCAGAATTCATCTAGTTCATTCGACATTTATTAAACACTTACTGTGGCCTGAGCCCTGTGCTAGGTGCTAGGGGAATTCCAAGTTTAAAATGGTCAGTAGTCTCCTTAGAGCAGGGGTTCCTAATCTTTTTTGTGTTATTTACCCCATTGGGCCTGTGGACCCTTTCTCAGAATAATGTTTTTAAATATGTAAAATAAAATGCTTAGGATTTCAAAGGAAAACTAATTATATTGGAATAAAGTTAATATTTTAAAAAATCACGTTCACGGACCCCAGCCTAAAAGACCCTGGAGACTCATTAGAATCTAGAGAGGTAGAAGGTATAATGCGCATTCTTACATAATGAATAATTTGGTGTTTGGGTTGTTTTTTTGTTTCTAAGATAGCAGCAATGAATGCAGTTCAATAACTCATTGCAATTTGTAATCTAAGAGACTTCCCTGAGACACTAAAGTCAGGGAAATTGTTCATGATCAGCCAACCAAGACACACCAGAGGCAAGACTTGGAATTAGCTCTTCCTGACTCTTTAGCCTTCCATCCACTGCATAACTGTTTCTCATGCTGAATGCATTAGAAAATTACAAAACAAATTGTTTTGTGAGGTCTGAGTGGGGAAAACAAAGAAGGCATCTTGGAGGAACATTGACATTTGAATTGGATTTTAATAGAGGGAAGGAATTCAACAAATAAAAGAGGGAAAGGGAAGTTATTCTAGGCATATACCACATGTGCAAAGGGCTAAGCTAGGGAGCCTTAATTGGGCTGTGTTTATTCAGTTGGCAGAGAACAGTCCAATTTGACTCCAAGGCAATAATGTGAGAAAGGATATCATGGTGATTCATTGGATGTAGTGCCAAACTCCTCTCTTACATACTTACTAGCAGTGTGACCCTGGGCACTTAAGTCACTTTGACTCTTAGCCTCGGTTTTCTTATCTCATCCTCCCAGGGTTGTCTTGAGAATTGAATGAAATAATGTATGTAAAGCACTTTGCAAATTTTAAAATGATATATAGAAGTTATTATTTTAAGACAGCCTTGAGTAATAGGCAAAGGAGTTTTAATTTTACCAAGTAGGCAACAGGTAAGTAGCCACTGAAGATTTTTAAGCAGAGTAGTGAATTGACACAGGAATATTATAGCAGCAATATGCAAAATAAGTTAGAGGAGGAAAAGAGTGGAAGGTTTTCTCAGGTGACACTGAATGCCTTTTGTGTGTTGAATCTTTTGAGAGAAAATACAAAAAAGGAGAGGGTATTATAGATTCTCTTGGTATGCTTAGATTGGAAACACCTACTGTACTATATCCCCCTGAGATCATTCCAGGGATGCCTTGTGCTCTTAGCTATGGCAGTAAAGTGATGTGACTTCTGGTTTCAGTTTGGGGAATATATATACATATGTTTTAATTTTCAGAGAATTATAGTG